ACCTGCACAATACATCACGGTATCATCAGCATAAAAATGTAAAGTAGCTTCATCCACATTTTCACCTAAACTGTTGATATATATGGAGAATAAAAGTGGACCTAAAACAGAACCTTGAGGAACACCATTAGCAATGTTTAACCACTCAGAAGACAGCCCATCAAAGTGAACACATTGGGACCTTTCAGAGAGGTAGTTCACAAACCACCCTACTGCATGGCTGGATATGCCAATACTGAGTAGCCTCTGCTTTAAGATGCGATGATCGACGGTATCAAACGCTTTGGACAGGTCAATAAATAGAGCTGCACAACTCTGCTTATTGTCTAAAATACTCGTAATGTCATTCACCACTTTCATTGTGGCAGTGATGGTGCTATGTTGTTTTCTGAAGCCTGACTGATGTTTAGACAGGATATCATTTTTACATAAAAACTCCTTTACCTGTTCACTCACTAGGCGTTCGAGCACCTTCGCCAGAACTGACAATTTAGAGATTGGCCTATACTGTAGTTATTTAAAATAGTTGCCTCCCCTCCTTTTAGTAAAGGCAAGACATAAGCTGACTTCCATACTTTTTGAATTGCATTTGTGCTGAGGGAGAAGTTAAAAAGAGTAGTAAGAGGAAGAGCAATAAAATCTGCAGCTATCTTTAAAAAGAAAGGTTCTACGTTGTCCGGGCCAGCCGGTTTCTTAGGATCTAGCTTAGATAAGGCTTCATGAACAACATTGACAGTAAAAGGAGTCAAACTGAAAGGGTTTTCCAGACCACATTGTTCTGAGTCACCGACTGTGGTGTTCACAGAAGCAGAGTTAGTCACAGAATCAAACATAGAACCGCAGGACACAAAATGCTCATTAAAGCAATTTAACATAGTGGCCCTGTCCGATATAGTGCCAGATGCTCTGGTAAGGCACGGAGGTAGCTCATTACGGATCTCACCGGTGGATATCGATTTTTATTGCTTTCCAAATTTTCCTAGGATTATTTAGGTTTTCTGTGGTAACTGACAAATAGTACTTCGACTTTGCACTTTTGACATTTGAAGTGAAGCTATTCCTTAGCTGCCTAAAACGCAGCCACTCTACCTCTGAGCCTGATTGCCTTTGCCCAGGCCTTGTTTCTCTCATGAAGGAGACTAGACAGCTCAGCAGAAAACCAAGGATTGTCTCGTCCCTTTACTCTAAATGTACGCAGGGGTGCATGTCTATCAATGATCTCCATAAAACCAAGATAAAAATAAGACCATGCGGTTTCCACATCAGCACACAGATCGATTTTACCCCAATCAAAATCAAACAGATCATGCACAAAACCCTGCTCAACAAAATGTTTTTTGTCTCTCTTAATGATAATGCGAGGTTTAACCTTTTGGACCTTAGTGTCCCTAATTGTGGCTACAACACAGTGATCGCTCAGATCATTTGCAAATACTCCCACAGATGAATATTTATGGGGAACATTAGTTAAAATGAGATCAATTAGGGAGGATTTATTAGGGGACTTAATATTTGGGCGAGTAGGACTGTCAACAATCTGAGTAACATTCAAAGAGATACAAAGGTTTTTAAAATCCTCTGACACTGCAGTTAACCAGTCCCAGTTAAAATCTCCAAGTAGCACTATTTCCTTGTAGTCTAGTTGTGATAAAAGATTTGCTAGTGAAGACAAGGAGTCTTTGACAGCTGAGGGGGGTCTGTAACAGCCCACGACCATGACCTGTTGACCCTTTGCCACTTCTATATTTATGGCTAAAAATTCAAATTGCTTACTGATCGATTTGGAAACTAATGTGGTTACACTGAACTTATTCTTAACATAAATGGCAACGCCACCACCTTTATTAGGCCGGTCGGTACGATACACATTAAAACCATTTAAGGCAATGTCAGAGGCCAAAATAGATTTATTTAGCCATGTTTCTGATAAGACAATGACGTCAGCGTCAGTCGATTTTGCCCAGATACGGACAAAATTTAGTTTACCTAACCTATATGAAACAGAACTGTAAACATATTTTCTTTTTCTTTATGGATATTTTACAAATCACTCACCTTTTAAACTGTATTATTGTTTTACTGTCATATAGTATTTCATAACTGTTTTTCATTTATTCTAATAAATGGTGACCAAAACGTTTGAGACCCACTAAGATAGCTAGACTAAAGTTAACTATCTAAACAGAGTCCCTTACCTCACTGAGCTGTAGTTATCTCTCTCTCTCGAGAGCTCTCCCTCTCCTTGTTTTAGAAACAGCTTCTAACATCCGTTAAGCTAACCAGATGCTAACAACAACAATGCAAATAGTGAGTTTGGTAGAAATATGCTGTATAATAGTAAAGTTATTTAAGATGATGCCATAGTTATTGAAGATTTTACATTAAAAATATTCCCCAAAATTATTCAAAAGCATATTCTTCAAAACTCCTTGCTGTAGTATGACACACAGGAGACTATTGATGTGTGTGGTGAGTTTGGTAGTAATAAGCTGTATAATAGTGATTGAATATTATTGTATTCTCTTTTTTGGGAGTTGCACTTTGCAGACGGTCCCTGAGCACTCGTTTCTTCTCCGGCTGCGGATAGAGACCAATGTAATGTGTCCAGCTCGGAGGACGGCGCGTATTGGCTTTTTTTTTTTTATCAACATGTGATTGTAGTTCGTTGTCAACTTTACCACAGTACTTAGGAGACGTCATTTGTGTCTGAATGACGTTTTCATGAGTTATTGATCCGTGAAATCCGAATCTCCCAATAGGCGCATTCACACTGCGGTACTTTTCCCACAAAGGTTCATGTGAACTTAGTTCATGTGAACTCTTTAGTTCGCATGAACTAAGTACAGATCGCGTTCACACTGGAAAAAGTCCCTGGGGGTGGATTAGGCAAATGAAGCCGCTGACGTCACTTGTTCTTCTTCTGCTTTGGGTTTACTGGCAGGCCGCAAACCACTTCACGGCGTATACTGCCGCCCAAAGTCCCCGGCCGGAAGTCCCCGGAGTTGGGGACTGGCTTCAGTAGAAGCTGCTGGGACTCCCAGCAGCTTCTACTGAAGCCTTCCGAGTAAATCGCCAGAACGCCGTCACCTCCTCATCTCCACCGCTCCCATGTTTTATTTTGTGTTGCCATAAGTTAGTCTCTCTGCGTTTCTGCGCTGGGCTAATGCTAATGCTAATAATGCTAATGCGAGGATAATAAAATGGCGGCTTCACAACACTTTTTGGGAGTTTTACGGGGCGTGGTTTGCAATCCGCCCAGCCAATCAGAAATATAGCTCTTTTCTCACAAGAGAGCCGCACGAAAGTCCCTGCTCTCTAGCAGGGACTTTCGTGAGGGTAAAAAGGTTCACATTAACTAATTTTAGTACCGGCTCTTTTTGGTGTGAACGCGATAAAAGAGTTCACATGAACTAAGTTCACATGAACCTTTGTGGGAAAAGTACCGCAGTGTGAATGCGCCTATTATAGTTCCAGCTTTACTAAACCAAGCCAGAAGACCGTCTCATTTCGTAGACCGCTCGGTTTGCTGTTCCTTCACTTTTTTTTTAAATATTTATATACATTTAGTTTGGATGAAAAGCGTGAGGAAAGGCAAGTGTGGCGTGAGATATGGGTTAATTGCGTGACTCTCACGCTCAATGCGTGAGTGTTGGCAGCCCTGTCTTATGTATGGACTTCATAGCAGACGTTGGTGAATCCAGTATGTATCCACAGTATCCACATCACATTTCCGTTTTTTACTTTCGCTTTTTCATGTCGCTGCACCAATTTTGACATTTCTCTTTTTGTCTTGATTTGACCTTGACATAATGTAAAGTAATACTCCCAAGATGGTCCAACTATTTTTAATAAAGGTCTCATATATTTGTTAAACATTTATCTTGTAGTGTTGTGTAACATTGACATTTTGAGTGAGAAATGGGCTATGTGGAATAATTACAAGGTACTTGAATGCGTCCCTGGTATGTTCTTTATTGTGTAAGGGGTCATTGGCAGAAAATACATTGAAAGCATTTTTCAATTTTGTGAAGAAAAAAAAAGTTATTTTGATCCAATTAGAACCCGGACCCATTTCTACTTTTGGGGAAATTAAGGGGAACATAAGTTAGACTAAATAGACCACCTAGAACACATTTCTGACAAGAAACCCCCCCTAGTGACAAATATCTGAAATGTGACATATATGTCACATTGGGCTTTAATGGTAAAATAACTGTTATTTTTAACTTAATTAATGAGGATGATTTTTTGGTTTAAATTAGTTTGAATATTCTTTGAATTGAAGAATAAGAACATATTAACTAAATATAATTGAATCAGCTAAATGAACTGAGCAGATCATAATAATATTTCTAATTGCATATATGCCACTTTCGGTTTACTGTGAAAGTTTAGGGTTAAAGTCCCGATGTGACACCAGTGTCACAGCGATATTTATCTCATTTGTTTCTTATCAATTTGATCAATAAATGTTTCCACAACAGGTTAAATGTAATAAAGGACATGTTATGTAGTGTAAGCATTTTAATTCTTAAATGGCTTGAATTTTACCTTTACTGTAGCAACACAAAAAAGCTTTTGAAATGTAGCTAGTTCTGTCACATGTGTTAGTCTGGCACATCGACATCTTGGACATGTTGTTATGGGAACACAAAATCAAATGTCCTGGACCATGACCCACCAGTCTGTTCAGTGTGTGTCACTTAGGGACTTCATGAGATAAAATAAAGGCTAAAGCTGTATAAGAAACTTTCCAGAACATTTAAAGTTCATGTGACACCCGTGTCACGGTGGGTCATTATGGGTTCAATTACAATCTTTAGTGGGCACCATATGAGACACACTGGGCACTATGACCCAGCAGATACTCTCCACACAGAGAGAGATGGATAGAGAGAGAGAAACAAGGCTGATCAGTGGTGCTTGTCTGATGTCAGAGTCTCCATAAAACTGAGACTTTGGGTTTGCTCACCACTCATCCACAGGGGGCTGAGGAGACACCGCTCTGGAGAACCTCTGCCCTACAGGAGGATTATCCCTGAAATCGTCCCAGATGTTGGGAAATCAGGGCAAACCACTCCTCATTTGAATTTTAACACATATTCATTTTCTTTAATGTTGTGTACAGCACTTGAGGAACTGTTTTTATGGCTACACAACGGAAAAGTTTGAATTGCGTAGAATGGATACTTTATTTGTTTCCAGAATGTGGCATCTGCACACACCTGATGTGAAAGAAGAACATGAGGAAGAAAGGAATCCGTTTTTATTTTTCTGACTGACCCTGCCATTTATCTGTCCGGATGGCACGGAAAAGGCGACGTCCATCAAGAGAAAGGGCACCTTAACATCTCAGAGGGCAACATAAAATATGCGAAAAAGTGATTAAAAGTTATGGAGAGTTTCGGTCAAGTCGAGCCAACTCAGCCGGTGAACAGCACAAACGACAGTTTTATTACAGATCCATCCACTGTGGATGTGGCAGATGGTCTCGCCTTTCAGATCAGCCTGGCAGTTATCCTCTCCGTTATCACGCTCGCCACCACTTTATCTAACGCCTTCGTAATCGCAACCATCTCCCAGTCTAAGAAATTGCAAACTCCTGCAAACTTTCTGATCGCCTCTCTGGCTATCACCGACCTGCTGGTGTCCATCCTGGTGATGCCCATCTGCGTCCTGTACACGGTCATCCACACCTGGACGCTGGGGCAAATCGTGTGCGACATCTGGCTCTCCTCGGACATTACGTGTTGCACGGCGTCCATCCTCCACCTGTGCGTAATCGCTTTGGATAGATTCTGGGCCATCACGGACGCAGTGGAGTACACCAAAAAGCGCACGCCGGGGCGCGCAGCAGGCATGGTGACCACAGCCTGGGTCATCGCCATCTCCATCTCCCTGCCGCCTCTCTTCTGGAGGCAGGTGAAGGCGGAGGAGCTGACCAGCTGCAGCGTCAACACGGATCATATTTTCTACACCATCTACTCCACCTTTGGGGCTTTCTACATCCCCACATTGCTGCTGATTGTCCTCTACGGGCGGATATACGTGGAGGCACGGAAACGGATCCTGAAGCAGTCCCCCAAGATGGTGGGGAAGAGACTCACCTCTGCGCACCTGGTCACCAACTCTCCAGGATCCGTGGCGTCTCTGCAGTGTGGGAAACACGACACCCCGTCCAGCGACACCGGGTCTTCAACAAGCGAGAACCAGGTGAAAGTGACCGTGTCAGACGCGTTTTTGGAGAAAAAGCGTATTTCTGCAGCCAGAGAGAGAAAGGCGACAAAGACTTTAGGGATAATCCTCGGCGCTTATATTGTTTGTTGGCTTCCGTTTTTCATTTACACATTGCTGGTGGCCACGTGTGAAACATGTTTTAACGCCGAGCTATTTGACTTTTTCACCTGGTTGGGCTATCTGAACTCCCTCGTCAACCCGATCATATACACAATGTCCAATGAGGACTTCAAGAAGGCTTTCCATAAACTTTTGCGCTTCAGATGCTGCAGGTCGTAAAGGAATGTGATTTTAGTCTCCAATAAGATGTATTTATGTTTTGATATAACGTTATATAAATGTATCAGATAATATAATAAGAATGCCATAACAAATATAATTTCTGGGACTGACAAGAGGATGTGCAGACATGAGATATATAATTCTAGTTTTTATTAATGTAGTAAAGTAAATCCCATGGATGTGATGCTAAAACCAAAACAGGGCTACTTTAAAAAGCTTGTTTTGATTTTTTTTAAAAGAAAAAGGATTTGACTTTAAGAAGTAGGAGAAATTCAGCTTCACACCTCACTTGTCATACATGCTTCTCTGTATGAGCAAATGTGCAGTGTTGTAGGATACATTCAGTAATGTTTTTTTTGTATTCTGTGTTCCTGTTTGGAGTATTGCGTGAACCAATGCACAGTGAGCTACTCCCATGTGAAGACTGCCACATTAATGCAAGGTAGCAGCAGAGATCATGAACATCTGACATGATAAGTGAAAAAATGAAATGTGTACCCAAGATCTTTTTTGCATCATGTGTACATCATGTCTATGTATTCTGATAACTTATACCAGTGATATATATTTTCCTTGTGGTCATGGACTGCTTGCTGCTACTCTATGTCTGTCTTTGGTCATTTACCAATCACACTCATGCAGTTTGAGAAAAGATTAATATCGGTGTCAAACAAAGAAACTGTAGCTGATATTTACCCAACTGAGCTGAAAGCTGACCATGAGTTCAATGTTGCTGAACAAATACCACCTTATTTTACTGTGTGGGTCTAATTTCTACATTTAATCTGTATCTATAATGTTATTTTCATGTGTGAAATGATCTGCCTATCATGACTATTGAGAATGATTTACATTTTAGAGCCTGGCCTGCAGAGCTATAAAGATAATACTGAGTTTGTCAGCATTATGTGAAATTATGTTGTTCTAGGATTGTATCTGTTCGAGATGCTGTCCAATAAAGTCTTTAAGCTATTTATTTGGCACAGTTGTTGAGTGGGAGTTTTATGAATAAAAAATCAGAAGTAAAAACATTTATTTTATCATTATTGGCATGTTGAAAGCAGCTCCGATATTCTGACAGATTTAGTTTTGTTGTCAAATGTTACCTTGACATGAGTTTTAAGAGACAATGGCCCCTGTGTATCACGATGATGTCAAAATGAAATCCAACAACCTCTTGAGGTGCTCGTGGCGGAGCATAAAGTAACACAGATTAAATTGGATGAATGTGCGTCATTTCACATCAGTTCCTCTTGACGTTTATCTCGAGAGTCTGTTGTGGTGGAGATTCTCACCAAGGTTTGAACTCGCCACCGTCTTCCTGCCCTTTCTGTCTCTTCGCCGCCTTCCTGCAGGCGGAGGAGGGCACGGTCTGCGTGGAGAGGGGCTGACACAGTTCCATAAGTCATGAGTGACACTGGACATGCTCTGGGCTTTGTGCTTCACACTCACAGAAGGGGCCACTCGTATTGTTAACGAACATGATTGCTAACACACTCACGCTTTCCATGTATGAATTTGTATATGGCTTGTCATGCATGACAGATGAGTGCACCTGGGCAGGGAGACATTCAAAGGACTTTTATCAGTATAACGGAATTTAGCAATGAAAGAAATGTATAAAAGTGCATTTAATATTCATAAACAAAGTCTTCTGGACAACAGCAATCTCTTTTTAGTTAGATTTTGAGTTAAAGGTCCACATTTATTGCAGATAATCCACACATACAAGTTTATAAACAAGAGATCCTACAACATAATTATAAGGTTTATCTTTAATTATCATCTTAAACTTCTGTTTGTCATAGAAAACATATTTGTAAAGACTCATTACAAACAAATGAATTCCCCGATTTGAAAAGATACGTATACTAAATAAAAAACACTTACAGTCACCTACGGTTCAAAGGACATAAGTGAATCAACAAAGTCTCGGAACAAAACTGGCACATGAATTATAGCCGTTGTGATATATATAGCCAGTGAACGCCTCCAGGTTCAGGATTTTAAAACAACAACAACCAACAAAGGAAAAAGAGAGGTTGTCTGCACATTGAGATTTTCAAGCTCCCAACGTTTTGATGGAATGTTTACACACGGTCTTTGGAAACATCCGTTTGAGCAAGAAAACAGTATTTCGGAAAAAGAAAACAGTATTGAAAACTGACAAGAATGATAGCATGATTACAAACTGAAGCCCATAAAGGACATATATGTTATACATGTTTTTTAATTTTGCGAGATGATATTACGATGAAAAATGGGGACAATGTAGAGTTTTTAGTTTTCTTAAACAATATGTCAACACGTTACTTTACTAGTGTGGACCAGAGCCATATAATAGAAGAGTTACGACAACGGAAGTCCAAAAACGGTTATCGTCACGTGGTTCATGTAGAAGAGGATCGTTCCCCGGAAGTTCATGGCGGGCAATGTGAATGCATTGATAACAGGAGATAGAACTACGATTTTTGGTAATTATTAGTGAATAAAGGTTTTGATTTGCAATATTTATACAACAAATCGATATGTGTATGTATTTACATCAATATGTTTTAAAAAATAAAATAGAATTTGCTAATATTAAGTGATAATATTAGGATTAGTGTGAACAACTAGTTTACATGTTAGGCTAACAGTGCCTTGGTTAAAAAGCCTTTTGCTGTTTATTTATAGCTTTGAATTCTTTAAAACCAATATTATCTTCTTAAACCTGTATGGTAGTCAGGAGCATCACTTTCTAATGTTTATTGATATATTTAGAGGGAAGGGATCTAAACTAATGCTTTAAAATTCAGATTAGATTAATGTCTACCATTTTCTTAAATTCATGGTAGTTTCAGTAACCATGGTAATTGAGGACACAAGTTATCTAAATGACTAATGTCATCTTTATGGCTTTCAGAAAGGACAGGAGACCGACAGGTGACTATCAAAGGACTAGCAGCAGCAGCAGCATGATGATGATGATGTTAAATGTATTGTTTTAGGAACATCCATTGCAAATACATGGAATTCAATAAACATTGAATAGCATATCATGCAGTTTGTCTGTGCCTTTTCCTCCGTGTTGTCCTTGTTTGCTCTGCTGCCTCCTAGTCGCCACCATGGTTTGCTGTGCTGCCTGGGGATGCTCAAATCGCTCCGAGAAAGGAGTACGAATGTACGGCTTCCCCACTGACACAGAGCGGAGGAAAAAATGTCTGGCTCAAGTCAGCAGGAGCAATTTCACGACCAACAGCAAAAAAATATGTGATGTAATTATATACAAACACTGCATTTGCACTTTTTCACAAAACGAAAACCACACCATTGGGAAAGCTTAATGTTTTGTTTAATACAAAAAAACAGGGAAAGGCTTGAAAAACACAGAGTTGAGACTCAGGGTGCAGGGTGAGGGTCTCAGTGCAGGTATTCAGGCTCCATTTAATCCCCCTCTGGTTCTTGTGCTGAAAGAGGGATAAACAGACAGGAGAAAGGGTTATACACACCTATATAGCACACCTATTGGATGGGAAATTGCCTTGGGGAGATAAGGTGTGGTCTTTGTTCCCAACTGAAGTTATGGAACTTTATTATTTGTAAGTTTAACAAAGTATGACAAATGGCATCAGTAACAGATGTGATATTAATTTCTATAAAGTTGTCTCACATTCTTGGTCATATTTATATACAGTATGTAATGAGTATAACATGTCCAGTAAGTATAAAGTGTTTCCTAATACTGTGTATTCAACCACTATGGAATATGTATGTGGGCAGACAAGATTCAGACACAGTTGTTCTGTGTGTGAAGTAACCTCAAGTCACTCCGCAGGCACATTTTGATGCAGACCAGTTTGTCAAGACAAAAAAGGGCAAGACTAGGCTGAGAGCAGAGGCTATACCCATGTTATGGAAATCTAAAAACCCCAATACTGTAGAGTACAAGTCAGAAAACAAATAAATGGTGAATCAGACAGAGTTGTCTTTCTGGTGATGTTTATTCGAACAAACATCAGATACAATAAAATATAGACACAGGTCTCACAGAGTATAGGATAGTCTGCGCGAGTGTGCGCAGTTCAATATAGTTTTCAAGCTTATATTGAGGAAAGGGTGGGAAGGTAAGAAATCTGTCTTCACACAGTCACATTGTTATTAGACACCTGGCCTTGAGCTGTAGAAGTTCTCGTGTGACTTTGTGTGAGTCTCAACCCAATAGCCAAAACAGCTCTGTGGCCTTGAAGTAGGATAGATAGAGGAAAACAGCACATCTAACCAAATGAGACACATTTGGTTAAAACATATCAGGATATAATAAAATTTCCACTACATTCCCCCCTTTTGATCATACTTGATCAATAAAAAACAAATGACAGGATAGACTGATATCACACATCAATGAATACACTCCATCACTGGTTTGAGTAAACACATCACAAATATATCATAGAAAACTGGCTGTTTTTGTGGAGGACAGACTTCAATATAATGTAAGCATAAGAGGAGAGTACACTCGATTCACATGATTATATTGATTATATTGTAGTGTCGGAATCAGACTCTTCTGATTCTAGCTGGTCTATCTCACTGTGGCGCAAAGGATTGTCTTGTAATGGAATAGCAGTATACTGAACGAAAGCTAAAGATACCATGCTGGAAACGCACTTCTTCAGTATTGGGATAATCAAACAGACATATAATATGACACAGGTCAAGAGCAAATTGCTGCATGAGCATGTTCCTAGAGGCTATTATGAATGGGGCATGACCTGGAAGCCTTGCGTCGTCTCGTAAGTGAGGTTCTCTAGCCGAACGTGTAAGGTATCTATGTTATGGGCTTTTTACCTTGTGGTGTTCGTGGTGTTGGAACTCTCTGTTTAAACAAGGGGTCATTATTCCGTATAACGATTCCGGTACGCACTCCAGTGTTTCCTGTCAAAAAGATCAGAGACAAAACCTCCTGACGAGTGGAGATTTGTTCAGGATTTACAGCTGTAAATGTTCCACTTGTTACCATTGTGAGGCTATTTTTATGCAGCTCTGCGTGGTGTTGTAGCTAGAATTCAGACTAATGCACTACCAGAGGTGGAATAAGTACTCAGATCTTTTACTTGAGTAAAAGTAGAAGTACCAGAGTGGTACAGTAAAAGTCCTGCATTCAAAATGTTCCTCAAGAATAAATTACAAGAAGTAGAAATACAAATAAAGTTAAAGTAAAAGGCTAGAAAACTGGACACTCACAGAAAGTGTTTATAATAAATACTGGGAGGATTAAGCAGAATGCTGTGAAAGAAGGCAGTTGGCCTTGGGGCATTAAAGAAAATATTAAGGTTGAAGATGAATGTGAAGAAAAGAAGGAAAATAAATTATTTCCAAAACCATGTAAACCCCAGACATCTCTGTGTTCTTCCATTGCAGGCCTGAATGACCTCTCCTCGACTGGGTATCCTTTCCCTCCCCCGGGGTACAACCCTGGCAATCCGGCTGGCCCACCTCAACCACCTCCACCGCCACTACAAGCCCCAGCCATGCAGTCAACTCCAAGCTCGCCACCCCCATCAGCCCCAAGTAGATGGGGACAACAGCGGGATAAACAAACCCAAGCCCAAGCAAGTGTTTGGGCAACACACCTCAGTAATGCCTTTCTCAACGGACTCACAGACACAGCGCAAGCTACGCAGAATGCTGGCCAGTCACAATACCGAGGGAGAGGCAGAAGAGGTTTTCCGAGGCAGAAGACGAGAAGCAAGACCTTCATTTGAGAAAGATGTTTCAAGTGTGGCAGTGTTGAACATTGGATTATGGGACTGCTCACAGAACACTGGCGAGTGGAGGCAGAGAGGGGGACAGCAAGGACGGGGCCATTCACAATCAGACTGACCTACACCAGATGGGGAGGAAGGGGCCCGATCGAGCGAGATGGAAATTCAGCCAGCATCATCGAACCAGGGAAGTGAATACACACTAGGGCTGTGCGATTATGGCAAAAATCATAATCACGATAAT